GAGTGAAGGCCCATTTACCTGAATCAATCACTCATGCCGAGTGAGACGCCATCACACCATCTCAAAGTGCAGTTTCATCACGATGAGGATGATTGTAGACAGATCCATAATGAATGCTGAATCGGTAACTACCCAACGAAATAAGCACCGCGGAACATTACATCAAACGGTGGTATATGACACGAGCAACTAGACTTGACGATCAAGCCAAAATCGGACTGAACTATCATATACGCGAACCAGAAAGCATAATATCAGCCATATGATCACCTGAATGAGCTGGTAGTCACAATCACCGCAAAAAAGATCTTGGGCACACTGATCACTCCATCCCTCCCTTGAAGAGCGACCGTCCTGGAGTCAAGAGTACAGTGATCTGGATTGTGTGGTTGAGGGCCCAACTAAATCACAAATTGGGAAAACGCAATAATAAGATATCTTGAACATTTGGGGTGGCAATATCTGTGAGTTTAGGCTTCGTGCAGATATCAACGAGATCCAGTAGCATTTTTCAAACCCGCCAGATTTCCCGAGCAGCTCAAGCATGTATTTATGAGTGTTTCATAAGCAAGTGAACTTTATGTGCGGAATCTCTCGTATACAACCCCCAGGTTACGAGGGAATCTGAAGACCAAATCACAAAGATTTGGAAGTTCACAAGCACTCTCACGTCTGAATCAATGAATCATTTGTAGCGCCAGTAAAATGTTTACATGTTATCATGGAACAGCAAGAGAAAGAGAACAGTGTTGGAATCAAAGGTGTAATAGATGAACCCATATTGAGACGAGTGTCTCAGTTGCACCGACAGGTCAGATATCAATGCATGAGATGATTATGGTGAGTGGGTGGAAGTAGGGGCCAGCGCAAACACAAACATCCGTTAGACAGATTCAATGCACAATTTCCTCCTCTATTCTCTCCGTTTGACATCGTGTTACGCTTGCGCGTCCGTGCACAAATGTGAGAGCTTTGCAGGTCCACGCATACAATATTGTCCAATTTGTACGCGCTGAACACGGATTACCAGTCCATGTGAACTCACACGAGAATACACGAAAAGAAACAAGCAGATAAGGAAGGAGACCGATTGATTTACGTGGCTTAATACCAGTTTAACCATACGTACACAACCCACAGCTCTGATGCACACATTCGCCCTCTTAGTCTTTGGGGGCGGATAAGATAAGGGAAACAAACGACTCGATGAAAATAGGAAACAAAAGGAAACACAAATTGACACAGACGAAAAGGAACAGGAGACAGAAAACAAGCAAATTCAAGCCCTGCGTTCGAACAATATGATAACTGATCCCAATTCTGGATACGGACATGGGTCTAGGTCAGTATGAGCAATATTGAGGGCGTAATGGTAAAGCTGAGCCAGGTGCGATGAGAAGAAATCAGGCGGGATATTACATAGCAAGTAATAGACAAATCATCGTACCGGTCAGGATTTTTCGGGGGAGGACAAACACAGATAGAGGAACACACCTGATGCAGATTGAGGCAACGTTCTACGCGTTTTTCAATCCTCAAGTGTGTTGTTTTCTTTCAGGGTTAATACAAATCGATCTCTCGGAGAGGTCTGTGCAAATCCTCTGGCCTTATCACAGTGATGAAAATAAGTAATTTACACAAGGCTTTTCGACGGCAAAGGGAGACAGTGGGGCAAATCGTGGGGTGGAGATAGGGACAACGGCAATGATGTGTGCTCGTTGGTAAGACCGAGCAATTCTTAAAGAAGGCGTGGCCTTTTATAGTTCGACGCTCTAAGTTTCTGCAACCACGGATCTGGTTGAGCATACTCTATGCCTATAGTCGGACCATCACCGGACATCGTAGGAACCGAATTCAGTGAATGATCCGAGAACAAAGTTTCCGCTGATTGCGAATGCCAGGATCCGTTGCATTTGACACCGTNTACCTTGCAAGCGGATAGTTTTGATTCAGAATCAGAATCCGCCTGACAAGCGTATGAGAGATTCTCTGCTGAACGCGCAGCCATCAACTCGGACTTCAGTACGACACGATCTTCCCGCTGTTCTTTAACGTCTCCGTTTGGAAGGGTGGGAATGTGACTATTTTTCTCAGCTTCTTGATTCGGACAAGTATTCAAGCTGTGACAATTATGTGGTGATGGGTCACGTTTCTGTATGCATGGAGGGCCAACATCATAAAAATCGAACTGTGAAAAGAAGGAGAGAGATGATTAATTCTCAAAAATGGTACCTCACCAGAAGGTTCGCAATAACTGCTCAAAACTCATACTTCCTCACTCTCAGCACAATCATACAAACCGTTACCAAAACGCTAAAAAGGCAGCCTGGAAGTTATCCTCGTAGAGGGTAGTTCAATAAATAGTTTCCACTTCGGTAATTGTGGACTGATCGAAAGATTGAAATGGGGCAAAGCTGCAAGCTAACTAGCAAACATCTATCAAACTGAT